CGTGGTGGTGAGAGGACGGATGGGCGGCGCTTTTGCTCGTCGGCGTCACACTGCATGGGGTCGCAAAACATTACCTCTTGGTGTGGACAGTGTCGCTCTTCTACTTACTCACGTATTGTTGTGAGGTTCCGAAGAGGCGACGTTCATCAGGGCTGTATTACAGAGAGTATATAGTTGTTCAGGTGTGTGCGGGGTAGTTAAGCGTATCTACCGCGGCCTCTTCCACCTTGTCCGCGACCTCCTCGTCCGCGGCCTCTCCCGGATCCTCGTCCGCGGTTTCCTCCGCCGCCACGCCCTCCGCGTGCCGTCGTGCCACGCGTACCTCCTTGGAGGCTTGCGTAAACCGCATCCATGGCGTGGTCGTCGGCTTCTGAGTCGTCAGAGTCACCTTCCGGAGGGGCGTCTTCTTCTAGTCCAAGGTTCGCGAGCTTCGCTCCCCGCCATCCGCGCGCGGTCGGGATTGGGCAGTCCGCAGTTCGGTGGATGTCTGACTTGCACAGCTTGCAGTCAACTCGGATGGGTCCCCGCTTAGTGTCGTCGGTGAACGAGACCACTGTGTTGCACGCGAAAATCGTTGCGTTTTTGACGTGTCCGCAGATGCCCATCAACATGTAGTCGCGGAGCTGCGTGAGCTCTTTGCGGTCGTTGGTGAGGGGGCGGGCCATCCATATGAAGCCGGGGATCGGGCCGTCGTCCGCATGTTGCACCGTCGTTGGTTCGAGGTGGAAAGTCGCGGCGACGGTGTCAAAGATAGTGTCGGACGAGCCACCGTAGTTGAGGTTTACTGCCGCGAGGGTGTCGATCAGGGAGCGGTACGGTTGGTAGGTCCGCAGGCGGTTCTTGACGAGGGCGAGGAGCTCGCGTCGCTGCTCGATGACGAGTTTGTGGGTGAGGCCCGTGCCCTGTAGTCCGACTCCCGAGATGACCAGTAGCTTCCAGGATTGCGCGAAGGGGTCGTCGGATGTGGCCGGGTAAATCGAGAAGCTGCGCTTCGGGGTGTAGCCGAAGACCTCCTGGTATAGAAGGAATTCGCGTAGGATCCCTTTGTGGTCTGCGGTAAGGTCGACTATGAATCCCCAGGGCTGGGCGTGTGGGTTCTTCACCGCTTCTTCTAGGTCGGTCGTGCCTCCTTTAGCGGGGACGGGGGGTTGGACTGTGACCATGACGCCCTTGCCATCGTAGCTCTTGAAGCGGATCGCGCGTAGGATCTTCTGGAATTTCTCCGCGAGCTGCTTGCCTTTCGCGACCATCACGCGACCCGATCCGTGCGGGATTAGGATGAGGAGGGACGGGCCTTTGTTCGTGATGAGAGACGTCAGGCCTTTCTCAAGGTTCCCTGTGTGGCGCCATGGGGGGATGTAGGTGCGGGGGAAAGGGCCAACCGTGAAGTGGTCTAGGCCTTCGAGAGGGAGCTCTGGTGGGTCGCCTTGGCGGGTGACTTTGAGATGCGGGTTGAGGTTACGATGGTTCGCGGGCGCCGAGTAGATGGCCTCGTCATAGTGGGGGTTAAAAGGCTCCGTAGGTCCCATGTTGATGATCCATTCGTTCACTGCTCGCAGGATCTGTTTCGGCGCCCTCTTCGCGTCGTTTTCGTCCCAGAGGTACTGGGATGGGGCCATGAGCATTTTCTTCGCGGGCGGAGGGTTGGATCCGGGGCTTACGGGGCGCCATTGATCCTCGTCCAGCCTCTTTCGCTTCTGCTGATCGTCCACCGTTCCCTGTGCGGGTTGGCGCGCCACCTGACATTCGGAAGTCGTTAGTCTTGCTAATGTAGGGAGGATAATCGTGGTGTGCTTACCGATCCTCTAGGGAAGATGGGTAGTCCCACACCAGCTTTGGGTAGACCCAGCGCACCGTCGCTACCGATGGGGGGGATGCCTTTGGGCTGTTGTTGGTTTGGGGGCTTGGGGCTACCTTGGCCGCAGCGGCGTACGATGCCGGAGGGTCGGGGGTACGGGCGAGGTCGAGCGGCAGGATGGAGCCAGGGGGGAGGCGTTGTTCTGCTCTTGGTCGGAGGACATTGTGATGTCAGGGTCGTTCGGGAGGGGGGTAGGGGGGGCGGAGGAGTCGGTCAGGTTCAGGGGCGGCATGGTGGTGTATGCGCACCTTCCTTGATCCCTTCTTCTTTTTAACCTGGGGTGCCACTCCTCCCTTTGTCCAGGCGGGTTGTTGCTTGTGCACTCTGTTTGGTGCGGAGGTCGGGCGGTTCCTGGGCAGTCACCAGTCAGCTTTGTCCCTTGGGTTTATCTGTGGTGTCTACCTTTACCTCGGTCCTCGGTCGATTACCTCGGTGCTTTCCCTCTAGCCGGTTTCTTGGCCGTTGTTTGGGGGGTTTGGCCACACGCGTATTGTTCGCTTGGTCGGAGGTTGTGGTCTCTTTTGTGTTTAGAGCGCGTTTCTGCTTGCAGCCTGGGGGCGCTGTGTTGCGCTGCGGTCTGCGTTGCCGATGCATAGGCTTTGTATGGTTTGCTTTGGTGGCGCTTTCGTGGGGGGAGGCGCTAGTAAGTGGCTCACAGCGGTGGAGGCGGTCGTCGTCGTCGACGTTGGCGGAGGGGGATTCGGACTGGGTAGCAGTACCGCGAGTGGTCCCGATGGTCGATAAGAGCTATCGTTTTGCGCGCTCACGCTTTCGCGCGCTAGCGGGTGTTTGGCGGTCGCACGGCCGTGGACGTCGTCGTCGACGATGAACACATTTATTTGGGTGTCATGCTACCCATTTCTACCGCAGATGATGCTGGCAGTCGACCTCTTCCAGTCCCGTAGGGGACTGGGCCTTAGACCCAGCTTTCGCTTGGGTGAGCCTCTGCGCCACTCCCTTTCCCAGGTGGTGGTACAGGTCTAAGGAGCCCCTGACACCTCAGGCTGTTGCTACCCTTATCCTCCTCGAGATCTGTACTTGATCCACGTACGATACACTTGTATCCCTTTCGAGCGTCTGCATTACCAGATCTGGCACAGCGTCGGATAGAGGGAAGACGCCCAACGGTACTTATTCGGCTCTTGGATTTTTGCTGCCAGCCTGACGTCGGCGTTGGGTTGCTCATTGTTCCTTTTAAGGTGTTGCCGTCGTGCCCTCAGGGCCTCGCCCTCTTTTGGCTTCCAGTTTCCTCTCTGCCTCCAAAGTCTACGCCTCTGTGCAACCGCCCCTGATCTCTCTCCAGCTGGCTGACGGCCCTGTTCCCGCCTCCCCGCATCCAATCCCGCCGCGGCCGCCCCGACGCGTCCCGAGCCCCCGCCCCCACTCTCTGCTGGTCGCGGACGGATGAGGATCGCTCGCCGCTCCCCACCCCGCACCCCGCACTCCGTCGAATGTCCGCCTCGTTCTCGCTGCCGACACCCCCTTCCCTCGACTCGACGATTGGCGCCGAGCTCGTCGGACTCGGCGTCTCGCTCGCGTGCGTCGCCACGTGTTTCTCCATCGCGACTTCACGCTCCTGACGCGCGACGCCGCGGCGAATTGCAGGCTCTATGGCGCGACGACTGGCCAGCTGTTCTGGTACTTTCGGAAGCTCGACGGGTTGAGCCTGAGGAAGTGGATGGTCTACTACGTGAGTCTTCGTTCGTTCTTGTGCGCATATAGTCAGGTTGGACGGGCGTTTATAGGTCGTGGCGTTATGGTGAGCTTGTGCTTCTGCAGGCAGCAAAGCAGCTGCAGGAAGTCTTATGCCGCTTTTCCCATACCAGGTTGTTGGGAACCGCGCATGTTATGCTCTGCTGTTACCTGCTGAGCAGATACGTCGTCATCGGAAGGGGTGACCTTGTCGCCATCTTTGGCTCCACGAAGATTTACGCGGTGCGGCCCTCCATGAACCCCTGCCACGTCCATACTTACGTGTGCCGTTGACGTTGACCTTCCAGGCAAGTGCGACGACGTCGGTGAGCGATAGCAGTTGCTCGATAGTGCCCTTGCCAGCCTCTCACATGCTCACCCTTCTCCATCGCAGGTCGTCAGCAGCGGCATGGTCCGGTTGTAAGTACCAACCGAGGTTGGTTGTGCAGCGTTAAATGCTCACACGAGCACCACACCGCAGTGGATACTTCTACAGAATCTGGAAATGTGAGCCTCGTGATCTGCCCAGTCATCGTATCGCGCTGACCCATGCGCCTCCAGTCAACCGCAGGCGATATCTCACCTTGATAATTCCGGTTCGTACCTGCGTTTTTTCACCATGGATATGGATGATGTATAACTTGTGGCTCTCTTAGGGTGCTGTCTTGGCATTACTGGTGGCTGCAGTGTCCCTTTGTGAGTGCGCTTCGCCCGTTTGGTTTCCCACCGGCGCTGACGTGCTTGTATGCGAGTCAAGTCTTCAGCATCCGCTCGTGAGCTGTCTCCCGCATCTCCTTCGGAACGTAGGCTGACGTATCGCAGAGCCCGCTTAGATTTCTCCTGGCAAATTATAGATGCGCACCTGACCGTGAGCGTTCGTCGTGCTGTGACCTTATCCTGCCGGTCGTCTGACAGAGTTCGAACAAATCGCTAGTGGACGTTCTTCCTCGCGTCCGGCGCGGAGATGGCTATCGACTTCATGATCTCCTTTGCCGTCTTTGCGTCTTTCCTGCGGTTCTACACCGGGATCAAACGGTCTGCGCCGCGCGCCTTGTTCATTTTGCAGATGCTCAATACAGTCGTTCGCTCCTCAGATTGGACCTGTTGATCCGGACCATCGTGGTCTTTGCACTCAGCACGGGCTCGCTCAACGTGTGCGTGCCGTCTCACGCCTTTCTGCGCGGACCCTACGCTGACCGTCTGCGCACACAGCATCCTATCGACTTGCAGCATCATCCTCGTAAGCCACCCTCTTCTCCGTCGGCCTGACCCGGCCGCGGCTGCTGATCGCCTGCGAGCAGTTCAGTGTGCTTCCGTCGAGCTACGCGTTCATCGCCGTGTTCTGGGTCTTCAACCAACGTGCGTGCCTCTCTTCTTCTTCTTCTCCCCCGCGCCCGCGCCCTCGCTGACCCCACGCCCACGTGCGCGCCCGCGCCCGCACCCAGTCGAGATCTGCTCGTTTTTCGCCGTGCTCAACGCCGAGAAGGAGCTCGTGCACCGCTCGCTGAACCACGCCCGGCTCGCGCGCGGGGCGGCGGGCGAGACGATCCAGCTCACGACGAGGGTCGAGCTCGGCTCGTTCGCGGGCACGCTGCCGCCGTCGATGGGCGGCGTGGAGGAGGGCGAGTCAGATTGGGGAGGGTCGAGTCGGTTGGGGTCGGCTGGGCAACTTTGCTGCGAGTATGGGTACGGGCGGAGGGGATGCGCGATGGGTTCGGAGGCGAGCGCGGGGAGGGGGAGGGGGAAGGGGGTGAGGCTGAGCGGCGTGGATTTTGTGGATGGGAGACGCGCCGGTGAGGAGGAGAGTCTTGACCGGACGAGAAAGGTGAGGTTTCGCGTCTGTGCGTCTGAGGATGTGCGCGCTAACTACGCGGTACAGTCGGATTTTTCCGTGTAGCCCGCTGGAATGACTGGGTTGCGTATCTATGCCAAGCTTGTGCCCATTGTTTTCGAGCCTCTCGCTCTCGTCGCATCAGCTCTCGCACATCACATCTTAGGTACTGACGCATCCCTTGGAATGCCTTAGCGGCCCCGCCCGCGTCGCGGACAGGTCGAGTACCGAGTCAGAGTGGGGCGAAGCTCGCGATCGATGCGCCGCGTGCTCGTCTCGTCGTGGCTGGAGATCGCGCCTCTGCCACGACGGACGACGGAGGGCTCGATGCGCATCGCACTAGCGTCAACGCAGATGTGTCGGGCTCATCGGAGGCAAGAGCGCTGGCGTGCGTGCGGCCCGGAGGAACCGTGATTTCGATGCTGCGGGCGAGCCGCGCTGAGGACACGCGCGCCGTATGTAGTGTTAATGTCGATGGCCCTCGATAGGCGTGCGCTCGATCGACGCCGGCGCTATAAGCTTGCAAGGCGTCGCGACGGACGGACGTCCGATGTGTGCGACGCCGGTTGCACGTGCTGTCGAGGTGCTCGACGCCGAGGAGGCCGCGGGTGGCAGGGCGATTAGATTGCGAACAGCGCACGGCGCAACTTGGTTTGACGATGTCGTGTAGGCTTTGCAGGGATCACTGATCAGGCCCAGGGTGGAGCGCGAAGCTTGTTCGGGTATGTTCGAACTTCGAACCCGGCTTGTGGGCGTGTGCTGGAGATGCCCGAGTGCGCAAGGCGAGCCGCGCGGCGGTGCCAGTGCGACAAGACACGGATAGCCTCGGAGACATGCGCGGTGCGCGCTGGGGCGTGTTGCGTGTGCGCGCGGATCAGTCTATGCTGCTCAATCATGGCGCGCATGCGCTTATGTAGAGAGCACTAGAGTTTGTGATCGCAGAGTCTGCGGCGCATGCGACAAGTTGCTTTATGGAGCGGTTTTGATACAGCAGCGGTCGTCTCGACTTTGGTCAGGTTCTCCGAGTGAACTGCACCCATCAATCACGAGTGATGATGGGTGAGCACTGAGATGTCGGTGAGACTCGGGGGTCGGGGTCTGTTTTGGTCTGGGGTCATTCTGTCGGAGTCTGTCGGGCTGCGGAGTCGAACCCGCCGCCCCCAAGCGGGCTGGCTCCCACGGCTCGGAGCGCGCGCACGGACACGCTCTGCTCCACGCAAGCTCTTCTTCCCGACACCCATCTTCTGTCCCACCGTCCCCACCTTCCCCATCCGTGTGCCCTCTGCTCAAGTGCTGTTGCTGCCGCCCGCTCCCCCACTCTGCACCCGCAACCGTGAGTCGGTGCGTCTCTTCCCTGAGCGTTCTGCGGCCGATGCGTGGATACTGCACTGGGGCCATATCCACACGGACCGGGCGCGCGGTGTGGCGTAGGTGCAGCGCGCAGCCGGGAGGCGGTCGTGGAAGCTGGCGCAGGACGGGGGCGCGTATAGGTGGGTGCGTGTTGGGCCCGTGGTGGCGTTGGGAGATGAAAGGCCGTGGACAGTGGGCAAGTGCGGGGAGTCCGGATGAATGGCGACGGAGGGCGGACAGCGTGGTGAGCTAGTCCGCAAGCTGCAGGCGGCATCGTTGTCCCGCGCTGTACCCGCGTCGTCCATCGTGTGCAGGTATGGCTCACAGTGCTCTGGTCCCGCCTTTGCTGTGCCGATTCGTCGTGCATGAGTCCACGCTGACGATTTGACGATCGCAGATTCCCAATTTCCGTGCGCCATACACAACGCGCGGCCCGGAGGAGGGACAACAAAGCACACGATGCGGGCCGTGCATCCTCCACCTCCGTCGTGGCTTCTCGCCCGATCTCTCGAAGTAGATCTCTACACGAGGCACGTTGCGTTCTGTATGCATTCCGTCATCTTCTCTCTCGGCCGCCCGCCCAATCTGGAGAGCTCTCGAACACGCCGCACACCGCACGTTGTGCGCGCTTCACTCGCCCTGGCGTCTTCGTCATCCCTCTGTGCGCATGCTGCATGAGTGGCGGGCCACGACGCACGCCAGAACCCAGGGAGGCGCTACGCACACAAGGATCTTCTCGTTTCTATACAGATGGGGTGCGGCGTGCTCGCTGATTCCTTTGCCCCTCGTGCCGCCGAAATCTTGGCTCCCCATCTGTATAGATCGAGTATCTCCCTTGAGCATTTGTAGCGTGCTGACGCTAGGACGGATAACAATCCGTCCTGGCGTCTTAGTCCCTCTTCTAGTACCCGGTGCTCGATTCACTGAAAACTGGGACGGTCCCGCTGATAGACGGTCCCGCAAGCCTCAACGCCTCGTTGCTCCGATGACTGGCGGGAGAGGGGTACTCGTCGCGCCTTGCCTTGCCTTGCCTTGCCTTGCCTTACTCGAACGTCATAGGCGATATATCCGGCGCCGTCGGGAGCGTCGTATGCGCGCTCACTGTGGTGGCGCACTTGTACTTTTGATTTTGGTATCCGTCCTGGTATTGGGTATGCCCCAGAGACTCTGCGTTGGCTCTTGGGCCAGTACTGGTGGACGTTGGACAGTGCAGGGAAGGTCTGGGAGAGCCAGCGCCGTCGTCGTCTTGCACGGTGTAATCACGGTTTGACCTTGCGGTATTCCTACTTCTTCGTCCTTGCAGCGAGCGCACTCAGGACTAGTTTGTCTTGGAGGTGCGATAGTTTTCTGTGGGCATAATTGAACAGCGAAGGTTAAAGATTGAACTTCGTCGGGATCGCGGCTGTACGGCGACTGGCAGATGTCGATGAAAGAGTGGCAAGGCAGTGGAGATGGTCGGGGGATGCACACCATACGTGTTTTTTTCTAACAGTGGAGTGTCACATCTACAGTCTCGGGAGGAGCTCCTAAAGCGCAGCCCCCTCTGCCTGCACGCGCAAAGTTTTTCTTGGCGCCCTTGAACGACTGATCAACGTTCAACTAGCGTCTCCTGGCTTTCGCCGTCATCTCCACGACCTCCACTTACCACTCCTCCATCTCTTCATTCACGTCTTGGATCTCCTCTGCATACATCGGTGGTCGTCTGTTCTCTCCAGAAGCCGTCAAACATCTGCTCATTAAGGCATACGGGGTCAACGACAAAGTTGCCGGCCTTACGACGGCGAGACAATACTTCTCCACCCACCGCAATCTCGATGCGCCAAGCCTCGTCCCCTTTGGCCCGGTCGACCAATCATTCCAAGGGTGGGTTATGTGCTTTTGTTGACCGCGTCGGGTCTGCACCGGACGTCTCTCTCGACGAAGCGGCCGGATTGTACGCCGACTACTGGTTTCCCCAATCCATACGGGGTCTCGAGAAGTTCAAGGATGTCGAGTTTCGCTTCGTCAAACATGACTATCGTAGGTGGAACCGCATTGTGTCAACTTCTGCTGACGATATGGTTCGCAACTGTGGGGTTTATATGGAACAGAGCCGAAGGGTCCGCTGGCCAGAGGGTCCGCGTATGTAGCGATGAACGGAATGAATGGCTTCGGAGGAAGGAGGAGAAAGGGGGACCTTATTCATACATTGTGAGTCTCCTGTCGCTCGTTGCCACGCGCGCCTCTGAACATGGGTTCAGCCTCCGCCACTTCCTTCTATGCTCTGCCACAACGAGTCTTCAGAATGGTGAAACGGAGTTTGTCGAGTCGTCGGCAGAGAGGTCTACCTCGAAGCCGCGTCTCCCTCCGGTGCGTATTCCGTCTCGGTGTCGCGCCGTCTGCGGTATAACTTGCCTGCTTTGTCAGCGCATCGCAGGCAGTCTCTACAGCCCAATTGAACCTCGCGTCAGGCGTCTTCCCTTTCTAGGTGACACTCCAGATGGCCACTCCGTGCTGTATTCGACGGTCTTTGTGGCTTGTTAATGTATTTCACCACCTCTTTTTGATCCGTACGACCTCTCCGAGGTCCGATTCGGTGTGTATAACGATTCGACTGCCAGTTGGAGCAATTTTAGCAACGTACATATGTCATAGCATCGTCGCCAAATACCCTTTTCTGACATGGCGGCCATCATCGTACGGCCTCCGGCTGAGTGCGTTCGGACAGAAGATTGGATGTGCCAGCGTTACGCTGTCGCGGGCTGGAGTAACGAAGTGGGCATGCGCGAGGAGGTGATTTCTGCTAAAGTTAAGCGCCCAAAATGGTCAGCGAGAAAAGGTTGAGCGCAGAGTTCCCACAACTCTGAGCGCGCGCGCACCCACTGCGCCACCATTCCCTACGTATCCGGCGGCCGGCCCCTCTCTCACACGCCCTTCTCTCGATACTCAGGACGTACGACGCCACGGGAACACCAGCGCGAACCTGGTATCGGTCCAATGACATGAATGACTGCAGATGCCAAGCCTTGTATTCGTCACATCATGAGGTGCGCCTCCTGTGAGAAGAACAACGCCCGTGGGTCATGGCTCGGACGTACCGATTGCGCTGGTGAGTCCCTTTCGACTGTTGGGTTCAGCTTCGTCCAAGGTTTGACTCGTGCGGCCCGTGTTACATGACGCCTATCGCAAGATGCACACGACCAAATCCACGTCTTCCTTCTTGTCGAAGCTATCGGAGGGGACTATTTGGATGTCGGATGCGACACCAGCAACCAGGCCCAGCACTCACCCGTCACCGTCAACATCTGCGGACGTCCACGACGGCTTCTGTTGTGACCTGTTCGGGTGCCGAAGAAAGGTTCATCTTCAAATTGCGCAGTAAGTGTCTTGTCTGCGACAGTGAGTTCTGAGTTCGTTCCCACCGCGGTATCGTGCACCACTGGACTTCACGCCCTGCGCTCCGACATCGGACACGGATTATGCGCTCTGCACGGCGTGCTCGACCCTGCCGCGCTCTAGACGCATTCGGCCGAACACCAATTCTTGGACCTTCTTTCGCATGAAATATGGAGCGAAACATCTGCGAGGTAGCTTCTATCGTCGGCTACTGGTACCCAGTATCCGACGATAGAAATCGGGACAAGGGATTCTGAAATACTGACCCGAACGACGGTGATGTCAGATTATGATTTGTGCCCGACATACATGTGGGAACCTTAGAGATACACCATTTCGCGTTGGTCAACGAGTTGATAGATATCGTAGCCTTGCTCAGAAGAGATCCCGTCCGAATTGCTCATGTACAGTATGATACGTCCTACTTTTATGCATATATGGTTGCAGCCATTTGTTTCCAGTTTTTGTACCCATCGTCATCGGGGACACTGTCGCCGGCCCGGTATTGATTTGATCACCTGACGCGAAAGCAAACGATCTAAGCGCGCGCTGACGCAACCGCCAATCTCGCTCGCTGTCTTGGCGTGTCTCCGCTCTCTCGCGTCCGGCGCGGCCTCACATTGTGGAGCAAACAGGCGAGTGATTTGGCACTACTTAATTCGTATGCACCTTTTCTCATGCCATGAGTGTTCAAGATGAGTACCATCGACACTGTGTCTGCGCGCTGTTTTCACCCGAAGGTTCGCCTCTCTACGGAAGTGCC